TACCACATGACGAAAGCTTGCATCGCCAGAAATCACCTGCGCATGCAGAATGCTAAACGCAAGTCAGCAGATGGGACAAAACAGGCCAGGAAGAAAAGACGAGCAGCCACCCGCACAAAATGAGACAATAATGCTTCCGCAGAAGGGCCCAGCTATGAATCTGATGCATTTTAGGCCTGCATGCGAAGATTGTGACCCTTTTTACAAGCTCGGAAATCTTTGTTTACGTTTTTCTGAAAATAACAATTTGCTCCAAATGTTGCGACGCAAACTTTCATAACGTATTTCTCAGCGTATACTTTGAACTGAAATTTTGCACAATGATTTACAACCTATATATCTGTGCAGTAAACTATAATAAAAGAAATCCATCGAATATTTTCCAGTTCACAGCTGAGTTCTCCAACAGGATCAGTCTAAATTGGCTGTTTTCCCCCCCGTTTTTATGTTTTTTTTTTAGCATTACTTCCTTGATATTCACTGCATAATATTTATTCTAGTTCACTGCATAGCTCCAGCCATTAGTTACACAAATGTCAAAGCTTTACTGAATAAAGCCACCCATTAGTCACTTATCACAGCTGGCGTGGCTAACACTTTTAATGCAAGTTTTGACAAAGATTACCTCCCAATAAATAAATATTCAATATTTAGCGCTGTAAGTAGCTGGGTAAATTAAATAAGACATGCTGGTCTTGAGGAAACAGTCATTTCAACGCTGCCTGCCCTTAAGAAAATTTTTGTAGCACACACCGTCATCGCTGCTCACAGAAGTCGCTGCACTGAATTTCTTTTTCACGGTCGGCAGCTTCGGCTTACGAGCACCAAATCGCTGCGAAGACTTGCGTTTCTTCTTGAACAATCGCCGGTCTATGACAGCATGTGAGAAGCAATCTTGAAATTGCGATGCGCCAAACTGGAAAACAACGTTTTTCTCTCACGAGCGCGATGCGATCTCGAAACCACTCCAAAGTTGGAAACACTAGCAATAAGCAGCCCATCAGCACTATCAGCGCATAGAGCAGACGACCTTTGCGCCGATTGCTACACGCGACCGCACGGGCGACCAATACGGAGCCGCCGCACAGTCACGTGACACGCGCCGCCAATCGTAAACCGTTGTGATACCTTCAAACTTTGGCTTGCTGTGCGCTTTGCTCTTGCCTGGTTCAGCTGGCCGAGGCGGCGAATTTGAAACAGAAGAATGGCACTATCCATAGAGACAAAGATTGCGGCGCTAGGTCACGCGGGTGCGGAGATATCCCGGCCCGAAAAACGCCGTTTTTTCGCAATTTCCATGAAATTCATCGCCACCCTAGCTTCAACAAAAAATTTTTTACGTCATTTCTACGCCGTTTTCAGGGACGAAACTTCAAAATTAGATAGAAAAGGGGTCACAGAATGTGAAATTGAGATTTTCGAAAAATCGATTTTTTGGCCAAATTTCGTGTCCCCCTGTAGCCGCGTCCCCCGCAAGGGGGGACACTGGTCTTAGGGCTCTAATTTATTTTTGAACCAAGTGTGACAAAAGTAGGCATGCTTACTCAGTTTGTTCTACAGATTCTAAATATGTAGTTATTTTTTCTATAGCTTCATTAGTTCATTATTTAATTAGGATAACAATATCTATTGTTCCTACCACAATAAAAAAATAACCACCAGTCCGAAATTTACAAATAGCATAGGTATCAACACAAGCTACACACAACATAGCACAAGCTACACAACATAGGAAGCACTGTTTTGATTGAGTCATTATTTTTACTTAATAGTATACTTAACTTCATAGCTCTGAATGTGGCCATTGTGTGGTCACACAAAAGACTAATTTAAAAAACTTGCATGAAGAGAAATCGAAATCTCCTTCCTAGGTTATGTGCTCCAAACATGTAGCTTCATGCTGTAAAAAATTATTCTGCTATCTGTAATAGTTTCCGATATATTGCAGAAATTTTCATGCAGGGTGTACAAAATTGCCATTTTGAGAAAATCAAGAAAACAAAAATTCTAACATTTTTAACTGTAAAAATGTATGTACTTGAATCACATAGTCATTAACATATATATGGATACCAGAAAGCCTAAGGAGTGCAATGCTGCAAGCTGATCAATAATTGAACGAGTACTTTTTGAATTACAGCACAATAAAGTTCATTGCATGTAATTAAAAACATTTTCTATAATAAAAAAAATTAAGCTGCCCATTAAAAATTGGCTCTCAGCATTATTTTTTTGTGCACATTTAGCTATATTGTGCGAAAAACGAACACAGCCCTAGTTGTCTTAGGTCCACTTTTTTCGAACAAGCAAAAGAAAGTGGTCAAAATCTGTGCTTCGAGAATATGCTGTCAGAACTTTATTTCGCCGTTCCGAGTGAAAAATATCATGGCACACATATTTTTAGTCAGTTAATATGCACCAGGAATGTAATAGGACTGATTGTTTGCACGAGCGTGTCGTTTCTTCTAGTCCTGTAGCAAGTTGTCGCCGTGTGCTCCTCTGCCTCAAGGCCGCTTATCAGTTCGGTGACTGTACTAACGGCGATGTGCGACGAACGTGCGCGCGTCATCAGCGATCCGTCGAATAACACAGCGATGTTTTCCGCCTTGTCCAGAATGAGTTACCCGTGGTCGCGAACCAAACTTGCTCCCTCACTCATCAATTTCGAGGCTACACGAGTGCCGAGGTGTTTCCTTTTTCACGTAAGACTGCCACATTTTGAAGCGGAGAACACGACAATGTTGCGAACACGCCGTTAAAAGCAGTCTACCTGTTGCCAGTAGCCACCATTGCGCGGGCGGCAAGCACGTTCATCGCGAATGGATTGTTCTCTGTTGTTTGTCAACGCGCGGCGTACTCCACGCTGACGACCTGTCGCGCAGTTCAAGGTCCTTTCGTCAGGCGGCAGGAACCGCAGCATCGGTGCGTTCAGCGATAAGACTGCGCTTCCGTTCCGTCACTACACAGATTGATATCTCTTGTAGCTTCACTTCTGCTTTTTACTTGCCGTCCTCTAACTGATAAGGCTGCAAAACAGTAACGTTACTGGCAACCAACAGGCTCGTACATGAGTTAGGCCTATACCGGTGACTCGGCGACTGCCGTTGACCGCGGAGAGTTTGTTATCTTCCTTGTCCTGAGCCATAGCAGAGCTCATTCTGGAGTTCAAAGTGAACGAACCATCACCACACCCGTTTCACAAATTACTGTAGCACGGAACTTCTTTACTGCCGCAAACAGTCAGTAGCACCATGACAAAATGGCGCATGTCTATGCGCGTCACGATGGTGAAGCAGACGCCGGAAATGCCACTTGGCCAATCGGATGCCTAGGTTTTGTCACGTGCCCCAAGCAGCCAATAGAATTGCACGCTAGTGCTTCTCGATGACGCGTTTTTGTTGAAAAACCAATGAGCAAGGCGAACCAGCGGTGGCGGGAAATTGAAGATGAAGAACGACCCTTCCAAACGAAACCAAGATGAACATGATAGCTCGTGTGTAACGGTGTCACAAAACGAGCACTCAAAAAGGTCGCGCCGCCAAATTCTCGCGCCGAAGCGCCGAGAGGTCAACGATAAAAAAAAGAAAGAAAAGAAAACAAGCATCCAAAGACTCTCCGGGCGCGCGTCCCTCTCCCCTCGGAAGCGTAGGTTCGCCGGCGAACCTCCTCGCATTGGCGGCCGAGCAAGACCTAGAACGTTCTCAATGGAAAGGGGCGTGGTGATGCAGGGTTGTGTCATCCGTCGCGGACGGCCCTCGTACCGTCTCGCCCTTTCCTTCAGCCTTCGCTGCGCATCGCGCCGACGAAATGATGAGAATTTTCTGGAATCTCGCGCGGAAGGTATTTAACCGAGCAGCAGAGATGGGAGATCAAGAGAAGAAGGAAGTTAGCGCCAGTGTGCGTAGGGTATTCCGCCGCGTCTGTCGGTGAAGGTTTTGTCCTTAGTGACAAAGCAGGAGAAGAAGAAAGTATGCGCCAGAGTGCGTAAGGTGTTCCGCCTCGTGGGCAAACCTTTTGTCTTCCGTGACAAAGGAGGAGAAGAAGAGGATTTCCACCTGAGGGGTGAAGACTCGAGCTACAGGCAAGAGTGTGTGTCTACCGCTATCGAGCGAAGACTCGTGGCAACAGCTGCGTGTGTGAAGCCGACGCGTTTCCGGCGAAGAAGTTTGGAGCCTGGTGAGCGGCCAATTGAAGACGCGAAGTTTCCTGGAAGAGAAACTTCGGGGGCAGCGGAACGACAACAATGCTTGACTTTGAGTGAGTGATTCTCGGAAGAGTATCATCCAGACCTTTGTTCCAAGAACTCTGGACTGAATAAGTTTTTTACCTCTTTAGTCTAAGTGTCTTGGTTGTTCGATGCATGCGACTGCACTGTAGTGCATATTGTTGTCTGTGTCCGTTGTTTCAAGTGTGGCTGATTGTACTGCGTAGTACGTTGTTTGAATGGTGACATATTGTATTCAACTATTGTCGAGTGTGCATACTTGTGTATCGTTTTGATCTGCCATAATTGCGAATATAATTTTGTTTTGTTTATCAACTCTCGGCTCTGACTTGTTCTTTGGGCCACAGCCGGCGTCCGCTGGCGCGCCAAATAGGACCACTTCTAAATTGTCCACGCTTTCGTGGTGCGGTTCGGGGGGCCGATACTTCGGCCCTTGGAATTAGACCGGCGATCGCCTCCCGAATTAACGGGACCAGTGACTAACGGCAACAATTCGGCGCGGAAAAAGCGCAATTTTAGCGTCAATTTGCACTCACATCCATCTCACAGGGATGTTAAAAATTGATCTTGCACAAGAAATAATGACGCGAGATGCTAGAAACTTCTCAGATAGGTGCAAAAATAGGTACAGATTCCGAAAATGTCAGCTTCCAAAAGTCGATTTTTTTGTGATTTTTGACCTTCCAACACTCGTGTACCCCCTTAAACTTAGGCACTCCTATTTACTTCACCAAAAAAGCTGGCATCATACCTGTTATTTCTCTCTCACTCTTACCTGCATTTCACTCATGAGTTGCTCCAGGACAACCTGTGTCTCCTTGAGCTGAACGAAGACATCGCCAGGTGTCAAGACCCAGCAGACTTCCACGGGCACCGAGACACCCTCAGTCAGAGCCGGGTAGCTGAAGCCACCCATATGGTACAGCTTTGCAAGAACAAACACAAAAATACAAGGTGTCAGGGAAACCTACGACTGTGCAAAATAAGGCAAACGAAAGACAGAGAAATGTCCCATCGAGCCACTCACAGAAAGTACAAGTTACAGCTCGTCACACTCACCTAGAGTTAAAATAATTTGAGGGTTCAGTTTTCGTTATTAGACACAAACGTTAGGGAGAACAGACAATAATGACAGGGAAAGTATAGGGGACGTTACTAAGAGTAATTATAATGCATATGTGAGGAAACAAAACTGGTAGGAGCTGAACCTGCGACCTTCAAATAACAGATTTGATGCTCTACCACTGACCTACGGTGGCGGTCGTCCCCCCCATCCACTTTATAAGATATACATGTGCATTTAAAGATGGGAACATGGGAGTTTGTTGCACATTCAGCTGAACCCCTTTCCAAACCCTTTCCCTACCATATGGAAAGATAAAAAACATGCCCAAATTGAATTACTAAAAGTATTGGTGAATCTTGTGGGGGTGCTATCACCCTATATAAAGCCGCCAAATTATCCGATTTGCGGTCAAAACTGTCCGAAATAACGAATGCCCAGTCTCATAGAGTGATGCTTAATATTTACAAGGACCAGATGACATGTCCTAATTATCATAACCAGAGTGAAATTAGTGACATTTTACTCTATCTTGCATTGTAGTTTGTGATTTGGGTCTGTGCACCTGAATCCCTGGATTGATTAAAGGGGGACGCGGCTTTGGGATCGCGAAAAATGGCAAAAAAAAAATCGATTTTTTGAAACTCAAGTTTTCAGTTTCTAGAACCCCTTTTCTATCTGGTTCCAAAATATCTATACTGAAAACCGCGCAGAAGTGCTTCGGAAAATTCGTTCCACCCACCTAGGCAGCAAAACTATTTCTGGAAATGGCAAGAAAACGGCGATTTTCAAAAAATTATAGCTTCGCGATGCTTGGGCCGGGAGCCGACTTCTTGGGCTCATCGGAAAGAGCATTTCTCCGTGTTTAACTTTCCAGCCTCAGCTGGCTCCTTCCTTTAACAACAAGCGAGCAAAAAGCAAATGTTTGAAGGTCGTTTTGAGGCCCTTGATTGGCCGTGGCCGCCATGTTGCCTCAGCTCGCCTCGCCATTGGCCCGATGCTCGCTCCGGGAGATCGTCGTCTGCTGCTTGTGCGTCGCGAGGACATGGCTCTCGAAAATCGCCACTTCGTGACGTGTTCACGGCTTGATAATCACTTAAGATATAACTACGCTTTAGTTACGAGCAGTAAGCGGATGCGCGATCAGGTTACTACGAGCGCGAGCGCAGTCTACGAGCGCCGCGCGTCATCGGAGTCGTCTTTAGCCCTTACTCCGCCGACAGCGAGACTGCGGGCAGGAACGACGCGCTAGCGCATTCGTGGCGACGTGCTTCTTTGCAAGCAATGAAGCTGAAAGCGGCGGCACGATCTGATTGCTACGAGTGGCCGCACAGGATGCACGATCAGATTACTACGAGCGGGCGCGCGGCGGTCTACGAGTGCGGCGCGTCATCGGAGTCGGCTTTAGGCCTAACTCCGCTGACAGCGAGACTGCGAGCAGGAGCGACGCGCAAGCGCACTCTTGGCGACGTGCTTCTTTGCAAGTAATGTACTACATCACTCGCTAGCTCCTCTGAATCACGTACGGGCATTTTACGCATCGGCAGCGGACAACACAGTCAAGCTCGTCACCCCCCCCCCCCCCCTCACTGCCATGCATTGCTCGGAACAGCGGCTAGCAGTTTCGCGCGTCGTCATTCCAAAATGCGATGCCAAGTGCAGTGCGTGCCGATTTTTTTGTCTTCGTAGTTACACATTTCGCACATCGCCATCGAACGCCGCCAGCAAGTGCATTACGCGCCGGCTGCACTGTCCGCGCGGCCGCGCACCCTACGGTCATATGGAGTGCTGTCAATAAGCTTTTGTGATGCGATTCAGACGTGCTTGGAGCCGTGCTTGATATCGCCACGAACGTCTATGAATGTTCCGAGGTTAATGAATTGCTGTAGATTAGAGTTTCCGCGACCGGCTGTATGATGATGCGTTGCACAGATAGAGCGGCAAAAGAGCACGTATGAATCAGGGGCAAGAATTTTTATATGCCCGTTTTACGCCATTAAATATACTGCTAAAAATTCCTGTGCCACCAGTTTTCTGCCCATAACTTTGTTATTTGGAAAGAAGGCATAGGCTGTCATGGTGTGATCCATTTTTCTGATGCAATAAACCTCTCTCTAAATAAAGAAATGTTCAGTGAATACTTATAATCAAGAACGTAATTACGCTAATTACAACCTCGGCACAAGGAACTATGTGTAATCAATTCAGTATACGGTCTCATTCAATTACAATCTTTTCTGTCATGCCTATCACACCACTCCTTCATACAAAGAACTTGGTTTGAAATCCATACTTGTTCTTTGTAAAACATGAAAAGAAAATTATGGGGGAAAAAAAAGGGCAACCAAAGGCACACTGGTCAGAGACCAGATACTTGAAAAGTCAAATATCACAAGACAAACCTAAGATCACAATCTTTAGGTGTTTTAGAGACGTAAAAAGAAGTTGAAACTTTAAACGCAGTTTTCTGAATACTGTTATTTTGGCATCATACTCAGCTCGTGGAGCAGATATCTGGGCAACCACTGTACGGATTTTGATTCCGTTTATTTTGTAATGCTCCTTGAACTGTGCTTCAGGGGGCTGCGATCTTAGTTCATTGTACTCCTTAAATAATTTTTTATAGAGTTTCTTGTTTGTAGTGCAAGTGCGCTCATTGCAGTGTCGCTGGAGAAAACGTAAACTACAAGTTTTAGTGTTGCAAATAAGTTATTTTGAGAACGCAGCCCCCTTCAACATACATTTGGTTGTGGATACAGCAATTGCCAACCATTTTTGTCATTTTATAAATCCTCCAGCCCCTCCACGAGGTTCAATTGAAAAATAATTTGTCTCTCACTAAGTATTTGTGCTATCGCCTCGAAATTTTTGTGGATGCACGGTGAGGCCATTCTGAGTGTCTGTGCCGATTTTCATCATCATCCGACCAGAAACAAGAAAGTTCATTCTCAAAGGCACGTCCTTCCTTAATGACGCTAACACAGGTGGCCAACGTGGCCTCCATTTTTAGCTGAAGTTAGCACAAGTGAGGATATTTTGAGGTTGGTCGGGCATTTTGGCGCAGCGTGACACAATTTCGGCAAATGTCATGGTTCTGGTGCAGCTCGGCGCAAAACTGACGAATTGTATCAAATTGCCGCAATTGGCACAGCTGTTGCACGCACCCCTGCTCTTCGGATGGTTTATGTCATGACATTCTGTAAACATTTTTATGACTTTTTATTTTACAAAGAACATTGTATAGATGCTTGTAAATGCAGTCGTTTTTATAATGTGAAATTAGCTTGAGAATAAAAAAAAACAGAATTTCGCAGAAAATTCACTGAGGAATATAATGCAAGAAAACGCACAGGGGAGCCAAGGGGGACGTCCTTAGTTTTTCAAAGCCTTCTTTTTTTTACTTTCCTTAGGGTTTGTATCACCTGCCTCTGTAACCTTTGTGTGGTAGCCTCGAAACCGGCAAGAGAAACCTCACCTGCGGTGATGACATCTGTAGAGGAGTCACCTGCATTGATGGTGGAGGGGCTGCTGGCACTGATGGTGGCTGCGGAGGGAAAGCGGAGCTACCCGGTAGCTGCAGGAGCCCTTCCTGGGCCAGAAGATCACGGACATTCACACCGTTGCGAAGGATGACGTCCACGTCATGAACCTTGTTGTAGTCGCACCTGTGCACCCAGATGGTCACCTCCTGTCCACAAAGAAACCAAATCAGTGTAGCTCTTTGAGAAAAATCTTAAATTCGACAGAAACATTAAAAAAGTCAGGCCTACACAGAGCGTAGAGCAGTCACACCAAAAGCTGGATAACACCAAAAGCTAGATGACAAAAAGCTTTAACACACTCGACAAGCGGATTTGTCTTCCTTGAGGCTCAAGCAGCCGCTCGCCGAAAAGTCTGCTCCAGCATGCAAACTTTTCATGGACGTTCTTATTTTTTCATAACGAGCTGCCATCTACCCCTTCCTGCTGTTGTTTTTAGATTTCCAAAAGCTGGAGTCACACCAAAAGCTGTAAACTTTTTCGGCAATTACTAGGCTTGTGCGAATATTCGAATACTTCAATATTTGAATAAATGTTGCAGTGTTCGAAATGAACAGATAAACATACAGCAAACTCTTATTAAACGAAACTCGTGAAATTCGAGTTAACGGAGAAACCCACATCAACGAAACTAATTAGGCACATTTGTTAGCAACTTTATTTTTTTAATGAATTTTGATGAAAATTGGCATGCTTGTTGGAAATGTTTTTTTTTTAGTGAAACGCTTAAAATTTAATGAACATATATTTAGGACTTTATTATATACAATATATTTCTTTTCCTGGTCTTGTTCAGGGTCTGACTCGTTTTAAAAAACATACAGAAAACTCGTTGAGAAAGTGCTATGTATTCTAAGATATCCCATTGAGGGCATGACAATCACAGATTTTTTTGTTGGCAACATTTTTTTTACCTCTCATTTTTCATGAGGTTACTTTGCAACAGGCAATGAGGCTGTGTGCAACATATCAATTAGCTAATTAGCAAAAGGCCACAATAAAAAGCAATACTGTCATGCCCTGGACTGTACTTCAAGGAATATAGAACAAAAGACAGAACTGAAAGACTCAAAGGTTGCCAGAAAATCAGCGGAAAGGGCCAAGGAGCAAGCAAAATTTTTTTTAGAGAACAGCTTTTAAAATTGCACCAACGAAATTTCCTCATCCAAAGGCACAGGGGTGATAACGTTTCGAGTCATTTGCAACATACAGTTTCTTGAATGCACTGCCTTCAGTTTGAGGTGCCTTGCTTCCCTAACACAAAAAGAATGCGAGCTTCGGCATGTTTTATGTGGAATCTCTTGCACATGTGGTCTTTCAGCTGTTCCCTTGTTCCCCCTTTTTTTCTCTGAAAATTCTTTTCTGACTACAAAGGACGAGATTCTCAGTGATTCTCAGCGTGAAATCGAAGAATTGACGGACGCCTTCTTACAGTGAAGAAAGTGGAAGTTCCACGGAACCCCGCGATACCGCTTCTAAAGTAGGTGGACGGTTAATTTTCGGCACATCGACCACATTTCTGTAACACCGACGAACGCACGACGCCGTTGCCTCCTGCTGCTGTGCATAATGCGCTTGGCCTAGCCCACGGACGCTGGCGTCTTGAGCCCCCTCAAGACGGCGTCTTCTCTGGTTAATGCCACAGGATGGCTACGATGAGCGTGGACGGCGAGGATATCACGCAACACGATTATGAGAACGAAGCAGGTCGGCGCCTTGCGAACAGAAGAGGACGAGCCAACAAAGAAACCACAGTGCATGAAGCCAAGGACCAAGAAACGCACTTCTCAAGTGAGAACGCGGTCAGTAATAGGTGGAGGAAGGGACAGAGAGCAAGACAAATTGTGGCTGCGAGCAGGATGCCCCGTCAGCCGAAGGAAGATTACAAGATAATTGTGCGCCCACGTGACGGCTTCAAGGTCACTGACTACGGGATCAATCGTCTAGAATGCTGCGTCGCCAACGCCGCTAAAATACCCAGGAATGAATCGGAAGAAGACACGGTATGTGCCAACTATAAACAAAACATTCTAGTGGTCAGCACACCATCAGAGGAGCGCGCCGAAAAATACAGAACCATCGCTCAACTGAAGATTGGGGACAAGGAATACGAAGCCAATGCGTACGAGTCAGCTCCGGAAGATACATCTAAAGGGGTGATCCGAGGAGTAACGCAGGACGTGTCTCCAAGAGAGATCGTGGAAATGCTGGTAACCCCGAGAAATCTGACAGTCCTCATGGCCAAAAGGATGGGAAACACCACGAACGTCATCGTCCTCTTCGATGGGCATCGCGTTCCAAGTTATGTGAGCTACGGAAGAGCACTGGTCAAGTGCTCACTATACTGCAAGAAAATAGACGTGTGCTACCAGTGTGGACGCCTTGGTCACAGAGCTGACGTCTGCCCGAGCCCGAATAGCAGAATAGGCAGAGGATGTGGCACTGAGAACCCACCGCAGGAGCACGAGTGCGAAGCGAAGTGCCAGCTGTGTGGCAAAGACCACCCGACGGCAGATCGCCATTGCAAGGCCAGATTCAAGGTACCGTACCTGGTGAAACGACGCCGCTGATAACGAGCCCGACGGGAGGAAGAAGAAGCACTTTACTACGAGATGGAAGCGAAAACACTTCACAGGCAAAGATGGGGCGACTCAGGTCAACGATCGAAACATCGGACGCGGGACGCATCCGGACCAGAATCCTTCACCAAGCTTCAAGCACAAAACAAAAACCGCTCTACGTTTGCTACCACCACATCTATGTCGAGATCCAGATCGAGGTCCAGATCGAGGTCTAGACCCAAGACCGGCAATACCCGGTCTCCCCGATCACAGGAGGGGGGAGGATCCCTAAGCCCAAAAGGACCGAGCGGCGTCCGTGGCACCGCGGGACCCTTCCAGGTGAGCTGGGCTGATGTAGCTTCCGGGGCGCGCGCGGAGGCAGAGGCTGCTCTTCAATGTAGGATCAAGGCGCTAGAGAACGAATTGGCGCAGATCAGGCAGAACAATGTTGCAATTATGAATGAGATTAGAAAACTCAGGGAAGAAAATGATTTTCTGAAAAACGGAGGGGTTACACGCAACGAGGAAACCTCACAAGTTATAACGGAGGAAAAAGGCGCAGCAATGGACGAAGAGGTAGCAGCCCTCACCCCTGTTAAACGTAAATTAGAGAACGCTCTGATTAAAAGCGTGGTAAAGAAACCAAAAGCAGTGGCGACGCCACAAGAAAGACAGGAGGAATTCGCAAACACCATGGAAGCCAAAATGGAACAAATTGAAAGAAAATTGCAAACTAAGCTCGAACAACAAGAAGTTAGATTTGAGGCAAACATAGAGGCCAAAATTGAGGAGCTAGGCAAGACGATATTGCAGAAAATGCAGCAAATGGTGGCTGATTTCGACGCCAAGCTAGCAATATGGGGATCGCAGTCAAGTGGTGGGGGCCCGGTTAAGACGTCTTTCAAAACCATACGCTAGGACCTCGGTGCCCACCGAGGGATTAGAGAGCCTGTAACGCCGCCATAGACAGACAAAATAGCTACACGATTTGGCAATGGAATTGTCGAGGATATAATCGAAAACGATACATTTTGCAACAACATCTTAAAGACTCCAGCACCCCGGATGTTATAATGGTGCAAGAAACGCACGGGCTGGCCAAATTGTCGGGATATAAGTCATTCGGCAATGCTGATGGGGAGACAAAGGTGTTAGCAACGTCGGTTAAGCGAAATCACGTGGTGGTGCAACATGACACGGAAATCAAGGCAATAAATCACATTCTCCTCGAACTCATACCGACGCGGAAAACAGAGGAGTCTTTTTGTATTGAATATTTACAGCAGTCCTAAATGCAGAAAGCACAAATTTCGCACGCTGTTTCGAGAAACCCTCGCTATAACGGGCAACCGGGCGCTAGTGATTGAAGGAGATTTCAACGCCCCACACGGTGCATGGGGATACAGGATCGAAACCCAGAAAGGCAGGAACTTGTGGTTGGACGCACAGGAGGAGGGCCTGACGCTCGTGACCGATCCATCCATTCCTACAAGACCAGGTACTAGCGTTTGCGCAGATACTACGCCAGATTTGACGTTCACCAAAAACATACTGGACACGCAATGTACCAATACGCAACATGACTTGGGAAGCAATCATTTTATACTTGAAATAACGGTGAGGGCAGGGCTGCGGAAGGCAAAAGGCAGACAACTTAAACTTGTCGATTGGGACAAGTTCCGGAACATCAGAGAGGAGCCCGACGAAATGATACAGAGTATTGAGGAATGGACCGAAAAGTTAAAACGAGACGTGGAGGCCGCTACGCAAACGGTGCCACCGGAGGCGCAGCTAGAGTATGTAGACAATAAGCTTCTCCACATGTGGGAAGCTAAGGAAGGTTTACAACGGAGGTGGAAAAACCAAAGGCACAACCGGACACTTCGTAGAAGGATAGTTAAATTGAACAGGGATATAGAGCAATACGCCCAGCAGCTGTGCAGACAACAGTGGGAGGAAAAGTGCAATGACATGGACAACCAGATAGGAATGGCGAAGACGTGGACCATCCTTAGACATTTGTTAAACCCGGACGGAAACAAGTTGGCAGAAAGGCACAATATTAATCGGTTAATACAAAGATATCAAGGTACAGAGCAGGATTTCCTGAATGAAATCAAGAAAACATACATCTCTCAAGCGCTTCCTGTTACACACCCTGATTACACAGGGCTGGCAAATGATGATTTAGACAACGAGATCGGGGAGGCAGAAGTGAGGGCAGTCTTGCAAAAACTCAATACTAGATCAGCACCTGGACCAGATGGCATAACTAACAAAACGCTACGCAATTTGGATGACGAGTCCATAACTAAGTTAACTGAATTCATTGACGAATCATGGAAGGCAGGACAGATTCCGCAACAATGGAAGACGGCAAAAATCGTGTTAATACCCAAGCCAGGCAAGCGACTGCAGATTGCGGACTTGAGACCCATATCTCTCACATCATGCGTGGGGAAACTCATGGAGCACGTGATTCTGGAGAGGATAACTATCTATCTCGAGGACCGGGATGCGCTTCCACCCACAATGATAGGGTTCAGGAGGAACCTCTCAACGCAAGACGCAATGCTACAGTTAAAATA